GAATTCTAACATTTTTAAAGAAAGATATTACTGCTGTGAATTACAATTGTAATGTAAAATAAAAATGAATCTTTATTAGTAATTCTAGTAATAATAACTTTATTTTACACCACAAGTTACAATACTAATATTTATGTTTGAATTCACGTTCAAATGCCAAAACCCTGAAGCTATGAACATTTCAATTTCTCAAGCTTTTATTTTTGTGGAATGTAAGTGAAATGCTTTAGACTTCTGTCCACAAAAATGTCGGAAAATATGCGAATGTGTAAATAAAGTAAACCTAACCTAATGCACGTTGCATTCCCATTTGCACTTTAAACGCACAGCAAATGCAGAGATAGAGTTTGCTGCATTCGCTGTGAACTGAGCCATTCACTGAATCACTTCACTTTGTAACGCAACACATCAGACTGTACGTTATTTAATTAAATGGCAGCATTTGATTTGATGATCACACTAAGCTGTATTGCGACGATCGTGAAGCTCTATACTTTAATTTTACATTCAATGTAATTAATTATTAGCTCAACTCAGGAACCCCCTGTAGTTCCCTCACAAACCCCCTAGTTGTTGCAATCCCCCGTTTGGGGAAACCCTGACATAGATGGCAGACTAATATTTTAAACAATTATTATAGGTTAAAAAGCCCCCGTTTTTGTTTTTTCTTTTTCTTTTCTCTATAAACTGTGGGATGAGTTGAAATCATGTTCTGTACTTCACAGATGCTGCCACTTAAGTTTAACTTAAGTTCTAAGTCTTAGATTCCTTTAATGCCGGGTTCAGACTACACAATATTTTTGTCGGTCACGATAGTCACTGTGTCAGATTACACGATTTTGACTCCTAAAATCTTGTCGTGTCGTGGACAAGAAACATGTCAGACTACACGTTGCTTCCCCGACCATTCATCGCGTGCCATCTTTAACGACACGCGTGATGTCATTGAGAAGGCGGAACTAGCGACTGACTTTCGAAAACAAGAGTATAAACATTGCTGAAGCGCTTCCGCTATAGTTCTCCAGCATTTTTCTTTCTTTGTTCTGTCGTGGTAGTCCCTCGATGACACATCATACAGGCAGGAGTACTGTTGCCACAGCTCCACGAACCTTTCCTCCATCTCATAATTCCTCCTTGCAGCACCATCATCTCACTTTCGTTTCGCATGTTTGAAACCTGTGTATGAAAGAGCTTCTGTGCTGCTATTGGTCAACGTCACCAACGTGACAGAACTCGATGGAAAAAAAATCAAACATGCTAGTCTTTCTGTCGTGAAGCATCGCAGAAGCGGAATCGGTTGTTGTCCACTATGACACACTACACGAGCTGAAACGATGGAATCTTGCGTCCTGACGCCCATTGTCGTTTACGAATACCCACGACACCCTACGTCAAGCAAATTGTGGCAAAATCGGGCTAAAATCGTGTAGTCATAAGGCCCACAGCATTGGTGTTTTGAGTTTAACATGTTAATGATGAAATGCATTACAGCTCTGAATCTCAAACAGAAGCAAAAAGATGTTCTTAATTGAGAAAGTGTCACTACCTCAGCTAATGTTTCATGTTTCCTGTGAGTAAGGCATCTGTGAGGGTGTGGGGAAAAACTCAAGCTTCCTTTCGTCAATTTCCATTTTGTCTTTAATGGGTTAGTGTAATTGCTGATGTTTTGAAGTGGTGACACAAGATGGACGTGGTGACGGATGGATAGATGGCTCTTCATTCTATAATTGGTTAAAAGCAGCTAATGTCCTGGGTGTGGAATAATTTCCTTTTGAAGGTCCCACTGTTCCTTTGTGACGTAACCGCCGTAGTACACGGAGTGAACTTGAAACAGTCAGTGTCATGGCGTTGAAGTGGTTTGCCAGACATACTGTCCAGTTTATTTTTAGCTTCTGCTCTAGCTATCTTCATTTGCATTTTTCAACATTAGATCATTCCCAGTTTCTGGATGAAATGTCTAATGGGAGAAACATATCTCAGGATTGTCAGATCACTCCCTCCTTAAGTGCTAGCAACTGCAAGTTAGGTACAATCTATCTTCGTCTGCCAGTTAACAGATCACAAACTCAACCCTTTTTTATGGGGCAGTATTTCCAGGGCACATTTTTTACACACTCTTATTCTACAGGACGGTATGCAAAATAGATAAAATATATATCATCTGATTTTGACACAAATAAGTATCAGTATATTAGATAGAACATGCATTTTTTTGTGTGCCTATTAAAGCTAAAGCTGGACCGTGTGCGCAAAGGTGTCAATTCACTTCTGAAATAAGCTGTATGGTGGTTGGTACTTTACTCTGCAGAATATAAATGATTGTGGAGTAAGTTCTTCTTGACCCACATTGGATATACAGTGAAAACTGTGAACAGGGTGATTGCCACAGATAATGGTTCTTTCAGGCCCAAGTGTCTGTTTTTGACATCCAAGGACGTTTTAGTATAACGTTTTGTTAGCAATGTTGCTTCATTGCGCTTTACATATAATATCATGTTTTGGGCAAAACAAGATCAGCTTTCGGACAAAGAATGGTTTCATTTCATTTTTTAGACTTGCCTGTTCTTCCTCCTTTTGTAGAGGTATATATACTATTATAATGTAATAAAATATACTACACTAGGAAAGAATACTGTAATTTTGAAAAGTAAAGCCACCACAGTTGGAGGCATTTTATCCTATCGTGTATTTCAATCAGCTGAAGTGGCATTTTATCCTATCATGTTGTATGGAACTGTATTATTGTTGCAGAAAATAATCTGTACCCCTGCTTTGTCAGTTAATCACCTTCCTATCTCATGAATACAAACATGACAAGATGAAATGACATTTAAATAAAAACAGAGCAATAATGTGACAGATGCAAAATAATTCCTGCTTTAAGACTTCACAGTAATTCTTCAGTTGTATGATAGAACAATCAAATATGTGCTTGATTTTTTTTTTATTGCATATGAGTAGCTGTAATATAGTAGTGCATGCTTGAATTTTTTTTTTTAGATTTGAGCAAACAGGGATTAGACCCCATCCACATTGAGTTTAATCTTAGTGTCTTTGTCGTTTCTCTTCTTCTGTACCTCAGGTTTGGACCTTATGGGATTCCTATAACCGTGTTCCCCAAAAGAGAGTATAAGGACAAACCAGAATCTATGCAGCTAAAGACGGAAGCATTCCAGTCAGAGACCGATAAGGATGTCACTCAAGGACCTAGTGATGCCCCCATTAAGGACCCTGCGGATGCTCCGGATGCCCCTCTGCAGGTCCCTGCTGAGACTCATGCTGTGCCCCAGCCCTGTCCCAACCCTCAACCTAACCCATGGACCCAAAATCCTTGGCTTCCCTTGGTGGCCCGCCCGCATCCTAGCCATCACAGTGAGTCGCAAAGATAATGGGCTCTTAGTCAGGCAGGAGGCCCGGGTATCTTGGTTTGGGTCACCCACCACTTCCTTCCTGGCCATTACTCAACTTGCCCCATTTCTAGAAAACTTCCAGTCTCGCTTTGACAAGAAGAGAAAGGGCCTGTATCGTAAAGCCATCACTGAGGCCGCCAAGGCTGCCAAGCAGCTCACACCCGAGGTCCGAGCCTTGCTAACTCAGTTTGAGACGTGAGGTGGTGTGCCTTGGTAAGGTAGGCAAAACAGGCACTGGAGTTGGCCCTGTACCCCTTCTGACACCTCTCAAACTTTGCTGTACCCAGTCAGCTTCCAGAGTGTAATCCAGAAAAGGCAACCAGGACTAATTTATTTTCGTTGAGAAAGCAAGAGAAGGGGATTGAATTGAGTAAATGAAAGCAAACGGTTCTCATGTCAAGTATCTAGTGTTCTCCCCTACGTAACCAGTCTTATGATCTTGTCATATCATCATACATTTATTATAATGAAAACAGATGATGGATATTTCTAGGAAAAGGTTTTATGGGTTTTTGAGTGGTAATGATATTTGTTTGCCTTGAAGTTGTTCTTGGTCAATGTCTGCTGTCGAAGGTCCCTGTAAACATGAAAAGAGTGGGTTTTTTGAGCTTGATTAGCTTTCGCCGGAAGAATTAGGCATGTGTGAAAATGTCTGCTTGAACCCATTCTCAAACCAACTAAACTCTGGCCGGTCGGCTGCTACTTAGTTTGGATCCCTAATTTAGCACAGTTAATGCTTCCTTTTGGATGATCAGAGAAAGTGTTATAGGTTCAGATTCCTGCTGCATTTTCTATCACTACAGTGTTTCTAGACGTCGGAGTCCTTATGTGTCCAGCCTCCCTTACATTAACTCAAGTCTTGGATTTCACTTAGGCCATCCTTGAATTGTTTTCTTTTATCATGGAAGTTGTGTAACAAAGTTGACCCTGCTGGGTAGTGCCTCGCTCAGGTAGAAAAGGGGACTTAATTGGTGCTGATCTTTCTCAGACGTTCTGAGACGACTAATCCAAGTGCAGTGATCTGAGCAGACGGCTGTTGATCTGGGCGTGGCTCTTGGCCAGCCTTGGCTTTGCAGCCAGTCGCGCTGCTGTTACGGGGGGAGGTTGCCTGTAAGCCGAAGTCACCTCAAGTGCCACTGTGGGGAGAGCACAGCGACTCTGTAAATGCAGAGAGTATCACCTCAGACACGGAGAAACCTGCCAGCCTATCTGTGCGTCCTCTTTCCCCACCCCTCGCAGCTACAACATCTGCTTCCCAAGCTCATTCCTCCCTAATCTACTTGCCCTGTTCAAAGCTTATTTTTCTTTTCCTCCACTTGTTTTGCTCCCTCCTGCCGTTGTCATATGTTTGCGTCTTAGACTGCTTTTTATATGTCCGATTATGGCGAAAATGTTCCTGTTACTCAGCCAAGCCGCTGGCCACCCCGACATCGTTTTTGCATGAATTTGGGAGTGCATACGTGTTAAATGGATTACTGAGCATCTTTTGTATGGCTCATTATGTTTGTCCAATTTAGGAATATCACATCAAGAGGCAAACCTAAGTTTTGATGTAGCTGCAGTGGAATGCAAAACTCTTTTAAAATGAGTTCCATTAAGTAACTCGATGAAAACACTTGTCAACTGTGGTGTCCCGCTGCATAGTGAGGCATTGGAGTATAAGGCAGCAGTTCTCATATGTGTTATGTTCATCATAATTATGGGCCTCTGGCTGGTTTAGTTCAGTGATTTGTTCTCATCTGAAATGTTTTGCTAAGGATTATTGTGTTTTAAATTTATTTGTTGTGCCTGAACTTTATTTTCTGTCATTTCACTATTTGCAAAATAGGGCTGAAGATCTTGTATGTAAAGTGTTCAAAATGTATTTTGCCTGACTGAATTGAAGATGAATGGCCTGGATCTTATTTCAATGTTGAGAACCAGTGATTTTATTTGTGTGGAAGAGCATTATCTCTTTTTTTTATTATTTCTTGTCTGTAATCATGGTTATGTCCTTGCATTGCATATCCATTAGCATCTTAAACTGTCCAGTTATATTTACACATCTGAGAAGGGGCATACTGTAAGATATCTTGGTCTTTCCACATATGACTTTAGCAGGTAGAGATCGAAGACTTGAGGGGAAAAAAACAATGCTTGGTAGACCACACTGACTGACTGACTGACGGACGGACGGAGGTTTGTGTAAAGGAGTAAAAACGGTATTTATTTTGGTGGTTGGCTTTTTCATTTCAGCATCTTATTCTTTACTTTTATTTCTATCTGTTTGCAGGTCAGAGAATGCTGTAAAACCATTGAAAAAAATTAACAGTTGAAGATATTGTGTATGTTTTCTGATGTTTTAAGAGTATATAAATAAACTGTGAACTTCAAGAATTTTATCTAGTCGTCATTATTTTCGTATTTTATCTTCTTAATACCATTTCTCACTCCAAACCGTATTTGTCTCAGGTGCACAACCCTGTTTTGGGAAAAGCTGTTTTTCCATGTGTTTCTCAAAAAAAAAAAAAAATATTCACTTGACAAATCATGACAGCCCAACCAAACTAGTGACTGTTGTCTGTCATTTCACAATGAACTAAAATGGAACAGATTTTCATACCTGCAAACAGATGAGAAAACCGTAGGGCAGACTGAACCAAAATGTGCCAGACTGTAATTACACATCATATAGTAAATTATTAAGATACACAGGGTTGTCATAAATAGTTTTAGAGTGATTTGACATTTCAGTGGATCTCTGTGGTGCAAGTTTGTCTTCATGCTGTCAGCGTCCACGTTTTCTTGGCTTTATAAGATCTGACATTACAATGGAAAAACTGGTGCATGACATGAAACTTTAATGTAAACCGACCTTAATTCTATGTTTGATTTGCTTTGAATATACATGGAAGAAACCTCAAATGTTGAAAGAAAATTGGATGTGTTGCCCTACCTGGCTTCATATGAGGAAATATTCATCTGTGAATTGAAAGTCAAAAAATAACATTCCCACTTTTTAAAGCTCATTTATTTCTAGAGACTATATCTTCTATCCAATAATGTCAGTTATGGACCAGGGAGCAAGTCAATAATTTTTTTTGTAGATGAAAGTCAGAATAAGCCTGAACTTCAGTGTTATTACTCTCGGAGTTATTTTAAGTGCAATGGCCCACTGTACCAACACAGTTAGAAGAAGCTGATTTGCTCTGTTCTTTAAACATTAGATGACTGAAATTAAGCAATTTCCAAAAAGTGAATTATTTCTATTAGCCAGTGGATGATGCCAAAATATAGGTTACACTGGATAATTTCTCTTTTTTTTTTTTAAGATCTTAGATTCTTACATCTCAAAGTGTATATAGTTTTCTTTTTAATATTTATAATTTAATAATCCTGTTTGAGATCAATTCTGACCGTCTGTTGTTGTTTTTTTTCCCCCTTCTCCAGTGCTGCAACTCTGAAGGGCTGCTGATTGGTCCGTTGCCCAAAGCACTGTCATTGGTGAAGAGCCAGTCAGATGAGAGGAGCCATCCACATTTGGAGAAGCAGGTGTAATGGAGAAATTATTTTTATTTAAGAAAAGAATGCTATATTTATTAAAATGAATTACAGACTCCACATATTTCCCGATCCGTCATGCTGAAATGAATTTTTCAAACCAGATTTTTCTTTAAGCAGGCTTTTGTTCAAAGCATGTGAAAGGACACTTGCAAATACTGAACAGCACAGGGGAGTTACGGCCATTGTGGATTGTAGGTGGCGATCCAGCACACGTAAAGCAGGGTTTTAAGTGTTTGAAAGAGATAACTTAATATTTGATGTAAAAATGCAATACATATTGCATGTGCTATGCTTCACCGTACAATTACAGAGGATTGGGTCTTACTGTGCTTCTAGTTCTCTATCCCAACATCTGTGCTCCTTTATATTGAGAAATTCTGAGCCTTAATACAGTCTTGACTGTTCTTGAAGAGAGCTTGAAGTTTTCCACTCTGTGGCACACCACACGTTCAATGATCAATGCAATCTGTACAGCGGTACAAATCACTCCAACCCGCTAGTTGATTTTGACCTTTTTTGTGCTCCTCTCCACTTATAAATGATTTTCTTATTATACAAGTTAAACATGACCGTAAGAACGCATCTTTTCTATCTCTCAGTCTTTGCTTCGAGGTTTTCCTGTTAGCATCATTCATTGCACATGCTCAACCTGAGGCCTGTAAAAAGGGAATTTAGAGTGAGCGAGAAACAGCTGCTCGCTGTTGTACATACGTGCGTTTCAGTACAATCGGAGCGTTCTCCCGGCTATACATATGAAGATGGTGGTCGTGGGCATAAATTTTTTTTATTATTGTATTATATGTATAGCTCTATGAAATTAAACCTGTTTTCTGCCTTGTACCAAGCTGTGTGTTCTGTGTATTCTTTAGTAATAAATCATGCTGTATTAATTACATCCAAGAAACGACACAATGGACAATGCAGACAGGATCTTATCCGCTGGTTTAATGTGAACGCAGGTAAGGGTGAAGTGCTGAAGGCCCATTATCTCGTTGCTCATGACTGACAGTCTGGATCACTGACGCCAGCTTCACAGCAAATGTAACATTCTGGCATGCCAAAAAACTGAATATCTATATAATACAGGCTTACAAGTTGCCCAAAAACCACTTGACATGAGCTGATAATTTAATTTGTCAATGGAAAAACAGCTTTACATTACTTGTATCAATGAATTAGTGCAGACTGGGCATTTGACTGAATAGTCAGAGACTAAGCGGACACTTGAAAGAAGCAGTTCACTGTTACTCTATACTCTGTACTCTATAAAAAGACACTGAATAGCTATCTGTTGTTGTTATTGGGATTCTGAACAAAGTTGATGGAGTAGGATCCTGTGTTGGCGTCTTGGTTGACCTGGAAGTTGGAGGTGGAGAGACCAAAGGGTCGTAAAATCATGTTGCCCAAGTCCTTCAGCTTACCTGAGAAGAACAAGAGAAGGCAAATAAATTATCTGCCAACAACAGAAAGCTATGAATACAGAAGTAGTCTTTAACAGGTAGTTTAAAAAAAAAAAAGTGCTGACCAAGACTGCGTTTATCTGATCAGTAAAAACAGAAATACTGTAAAATATATTTACATTTATATTATATATTTAAAAATGTAATTTATTCCTGTGATAGCAAAGCAGAACTTTCAGCAGTCTTCAGTGTCACA